TGACTTTTGGCATTGCGTGGGAAAAAAATGAATAAAACTTAACACAAATGATGAAATAAGGAAACATAATGTAACACGAACAAAATCTCCCAAATATAAGCAACACCTGCAGTTTTGTTGACTAAAATGTGTTAAAATGGAGTTGCTTATATTCGGGAGAATACGGTAATGACATTTTACATCCTGTAGTTGTTTGCAATTAAAATTCTACAAGTGATAATGAAATCAAAACAATTATAATAATCAGTAGTGAGTGAATAATGAACAGTAAAGAGTAATATAAATAATATAATATATACACATGTTATTAAAAGTTAAAAATTTTTTTTATGTTAAAGATGGCAGAATCCTCAAAAAAAATAAAATAAAATAGAAATTATATATAAAGTATCTTACCGGACAATAAACAATAGGTGGCTCACTACTACAAACATACACTTCATGTGCATACTTTAACATTAAAGATTGGTCGTAATGTAAAATTAATTTTATACATGAAGAGGATATATATTTTAAATAAATAAATTCAACAATCTTTTGACAAAAAAATTTTTTATATTAGTGGTACACTCCCTGGACAAAAGTTTTGGTCACCATAAAACAATCAATTGCACAAAAACGCACATAATAAAAATAAAAATAATTTTTACCAAATCATAACAAAGTTCTCAAGAACATGCATGCGAAATTTCAAATTTTTGTGACGTCTAGGAGAATAACAGTTAAAAAGTTCGACCAAAATTATTTTTTTGAAAATGATCTCCAAATTTGATTTTTATTTACAAGTATTCTTAAAAAAACACTGCTCAAAAACATACATAATAACCACACCTGAAATTTTACTCATTTGTATGTAAGTCAATACTTTGTTGGCCACCCATTACTGGATATATATAACAGCTTCTATTCTCCTCGGCATACTCTATCAAATTCATATAAATATTTCTAGGAATTTGATTCCATTCTTCAAGTAAAGCAGTCTTGAGTTCAGCATTATTTTTAAATTTATTTGGATGTTTGCAAATACGAATTTCTAACTGATTCCACAGATGCTCTATTGGATTCAAATCAGGAGATTGACTTGGCCAATTTTTCAGAATTTTTACTTTATTTGTTTCAATCCAATTTTTGACAATTTTGGCTGTATGAACTGGAGCATTGTCATCTTGAAACAAATATCCCCTATTATTAAAATCTTTATAAAGTAGAGGGAGTAACTGCGATTCTAATATCTGGATGTAGTCTTGACTATTCATTTTGCCCTCTACTTTTATTAGTGGACCCAGTCCTTTTCCTGAAAAACACCCCCATACCGTTATACCACCACCACCATGTTTTACAGTAGGACTAATATTTTCTATATTATATCTTGTACCAGGTGGTCTCCAAATGTGACCTGGACCATCTGTTTTAAATAAAGTAAATCTGCTCTGTAAACATGTATTTTCATTAAATTGGTCTTTTATTTACTCAGCAGATTTATGATTCTCTTTTTTAACAATTTTCTTCAACTCATTCTTATGGTCAACATTCAAATGTCTAGGTCGTCCATTTCTTGGTAACTCTTTAACACTATCTCTCTCCTGGAAGTTTTTAATTGTTCGAGTTACATTTGTTCTTGCGAATCTAAGTTTTTTATAAATATGTGAAATAGTGATACCACCTTTGTAAAGTCCAATTATCTGTCCACGTTCAGATTCTGTTAAATTTGACATTTTTTAATTTTAGTGAAAATTTCAAAAACTTCAAAACAATCTTTTAAAATAGTAAACAAAAAAAATTGTATAGAAAAACATATGATGTAATTTTTCAGAATCTAATCTTTCATATGTCAAGATTTCAGGTGTGGTTATTATGTAAGTTTCTGAGAAACTATTTTTTTTTGGCAAACTATGATTTTTTCAGAATATTTTTGGTTGAACCTTTTGTTTTTTTTAACTGTTATTCTCCTAGACGTCACAAAAATTTGAAATTTTGCATACATGTTCTTGAGAACTTTGTTATGATTTGGTAAAAATTATTTATATTTTTATTATGTACGTTTTTGTGCAATTGATTGTTTTATGGTGACCAAAACTTTTGTCCAGGGAGTGTATATATACAGTTCATTCTCCATACAACCAACCCTCCATCTCTATATGTAATTTGTTTGTTATAGATAGAGAGTGTTTACTAAGATGTTCGTCATAGAGAGTGTCTACTAATGTATTTTCATTAAATTGGTCTTTTATTTACTCAGCAGATTTATGATTCTCTTTTTTAACAATTTTCTTCAACTCATTCTTATGGTCAACATTCAAATGTCTAGGTCGTCCATTTCTTGGTAACTCTTTAACACTATCTCTCTCCTGGAAGTTTTTAATTGTTCGAGTTACATTTGTTCTTGCGAATCTAAGTTTTTTATAAATATGTGAAATAGTGATACCACCTTTGTAAAGTCCAATTATCTGTCCACGTTCAGATTCTGTTAAATTTGACATTTTTTAATTTTAGTGAAAATTTCAAAAACTTCAAAACAATCTTTTAAAATAGTAAACAAAAAAAATTGTATAGAAAAACATATGATGTAATTTTTCAGAATCTAATCTTTCATATGTCAAGATTTCAGGTGTGGTTATTATGTAAGTTTCTGAGAAACTATTTTTTTTTGGCAAACTATGATTTTTTCAGAATATTTTTGGTTGAACCTTTTGTTTTTTTTAACTGTTATTCTCCTAGACGTCACAAAAATTTGAAATTTTGCATACATGTTCTTGAGAACTTTGTTATGATTTGGTAAAAATTATTTATATTTTTATTATGTACGTTTTTGTGCAATTGATTGTTTTATGGTGACCGAAACTTTTGTCCAGGGAGTGTATGTAGTACATATAGAGGGTTTTTCAGAAATGGTTCATTATACAGTATAAAGAATTTAATTAGAAAATTCGTTATAGAGAGAGATTTTAAATAGTATGTTTTGTCATTATTGGTAGTGCAAGTAGTGAGTAAATTATAATATATTAAAATGTTATTATTATTTTATTAATTATATATGTGAAAAAAAAATTATATACAAGTATATTATAATTTTCTCAAAAAATGAAAATTATTAAACAGAAATGTTTTTAAGAATAGACCACCACTTAGCCTGACACATTGAAATAAAAAGGAACCAGAACCAGACACAACAAAAAAAATTTTCCTTTCTGCAAAGGCTACCCAGCCAGACTCTCAAAAAACAAAATTTTTTTTACCTTTGGTTCCACACATTCCCACAACAAGAAAAATTTTTTTTTTTAAGTCTCCTCAATGTTGAGGATTGAATCTATATTTTTATATTTGTGTTCAGGATCATAGGTCGATGGAAGTATGTAGTCTTCTTTTACAAAGCCAAGACATCTTTCATGTATGCAATTGTTAAATTTATGACCAATTATCCAGCAATTAAAACAGTGATTCTGTGTCAATGACTCTTGCAAAATATTTTCACAATCTGATTTAAATAAAAAACTTTATTTTTTGTTCATAAAAAAAAAATTAAAATAAACTATAAATAAACATTAACCATTTATAGAGTGACCGTAATAACAGCAACCAAAACAGGCTTCACTATGGGTATTTGTGGGCCATGGACTATTTGTCCTTGATAATTGGTGATGATGATGTTTATTGTATGATGATGTGTAATGATGATGACTATTAATATTAATAGTGGGTGTACTTTCTGTCACAATTTTTAAGATTGATGAGGATAGATCTTTCATTATACTGATGATTGGTTGTTGATGATTGATATGTTTGTTTGATTTATCATCACTCATTTTAATAAAAAAATGTTATAACTATTTTGAGCTATGTTATTATTTTATTATTGTTATTTCAGTCAGGATTATTACCAAATATGGAATTTCCAAATACTGTAAGGATAGACAATCTAGAAATCTTTTAGAAAAAAAC